TTATCCAGTATTATAACAGTGTTTTTTCATGTGCAAATTTGGCAGGAGGAGACATTGCAATTCATATTACACCACAAGAAGTTTATTTTTTGGGATTACGCTTTTACTCTGATATTAATCCTTGGCAAACAGACGATGAAACATTTTTAATTTATGCTCATTTTAAGATATAAAAACTTCCTTGTTAATTAATAAAGATAAATTTCACATGTCCTCGGCTATTTTGATTTTAAATGTGTTCGGGAAAATCGATTCGTATAATTATGAAAAACTAAGATTCGCATTAATATGATATAGTTTTCCCGGTCCCGGGATCAACATACTGTATTAGTATAGTATTTAATACTAATACAGTATTAGTATTAGTATAATTTTCCCAGTCCCGGAAAAATTGAACACTCTTTTTTTTACCCTGAACTTAATATTAAAATAGTTAATTGCTGTTTCGTATATGTTTGAGTGTGTATGTATGCAAAGGGTAAATAAATTAATATATGTATGTATACAAATGATCGTCACCCAATAAATAATCCCCCCTAAGAACATTATTGTTATTTAATAAAAAAAAATATTTATTCTGTTTAACAGTTAAGGTAAGTTGTTTTCTAAAATAACAAATATGATAAAGATTTTCCAATAAAATCATGTACGATCTTTCATTTTCATTTAGTTCGAAATTTGAAAATCAACATTAGTGCACTCTTTGTTTTCCAAATCAGTAAAACAGCAAGTATAAAGATTTACTAATAAAGTCTTTGATAATGGAATAATGGTCTGGCTGGAGATGGGGTAACACTGCAATTAGAAATAAATAATTGGTTATTCATATGATCACATATTTACTTTAAAACAATAATTCTAATTCTAAGCGAGATAAATAAACAAATATGTTCATTGTTAATGAGTTATTCAAAGATGTAATATTATAATTCGACTCTAAATAGTTTTTCCTTCCTTGTCATGATTTTAAATTTTAAATTTTAAAAATATTATAAATATCTGCTAAAAGTATTTCCTTCAAAAAAATTTATTATTCTCAAACTGCATATAAATAATAATTAACAACGTTCATTCATCAATCGTTCATATTTATTCATTCATTTTTTTTTTAAAAAAACAATCTCTTCTTCTTCTTCTAACCTTTTTCGAGTCATTAGTTACTTATTTATAATCCTAATCCGAATTTCAAACCCAAACCTAATCATAATCATAAAAAAATGAGCGTCAACGAAACATTGAGGTTTTGTGATTGGCGCATAGAAATCTATAATTGCGTTATGAGTGATATGTTTAGAATGGAAGCGATGACTTCATTGATAACTTATGGAATATTAGCAATTACTGGATCATTTATATTTGGTTACCGTTATAAACATATGTGGAAAGGTTTATTTATCAACCATTGCGGCGGGATAAGACCCCTTCCAGTTGACAGTTTATTGTTTTTTTGGACAATTGCCTGCTATCTTCGTGCATTACACTCGTTGCTTATGATATTGGATGTTTACACAACTTATTTACAAAAAGAAACTGTTCAAGAAATCGGCTGGACTGTGTTATGTTATGGTGCTGTAACTTATATCATAGGAATAATTTACACGATTCCAGCTAATTATTCTCGCGGACTAACTTCATCAAAGAGTAGAAAATCTAGAACCAATAATAGTAATGACGATGGTTACAAAATACGTACTATTTATATTCCATCACCAACCGTCTTAAATATTGTATTGCTTTGCTGGTGTCTATATCCTACTTTAACATGCTTTCCATTTGCCATATTATCGGGAATTGCCAGAGACAATGGAGATGAAAAATTAGCTAATAATTGGACAATGGCTCAGTATATAGCTTATTCAATTCATGATTTGGTATTATCGGCTGTTGGAATTTATTATGGAATTAATTTCATGTTAATATTAAGACAATCAGTTAATCAATTCAAGTCATCAACTGCTGCATCATCATCTGCAACTTCGGCTACTAATACTAACGCCGTTAAATCTTCAGCGAATTATTATCAATCAAATGGTAATGTTACGCGCGAAGCATTAGATAGGCTCAAATATACAATGACTTACATTGCTATATTACCTTTGGTTGCTGCGCCATGGTGGTTTACTTTTGGTGTTTATCGTCAAAAATTTATCACTGTTGCAAGTTTCTCTAATTTATTTTTATCTTCCATGTGGCATGTAACTGGTGTGCAGCCATTGGTCGCTGTGTGCCAATATGTGTTAGTAAAAAGAGTTTATCAACATTATAAAAGTAATAAAATCGATAATGGTGGTGATATTAATACTGCAACTATCAAAACCACCACCACCACTACAATAACAACCACCTTATCTCCACCTTCGCCTGCTGGTCTCTGTTGTAAATCAAAGAATCAAGTAAATTTGAAAAATTAGAATGATCTAAATTTATTAAAAGAAG